AAGGTTTCTGAAGAAGGGTCTAGGCCTGAAACGTCAGCCTTCCTGCTCCTCTGATGCTGCTTGGCCTGCTGTGTTCATCCAGCTCCACAGCTTGTTATCTCATACTGAGATGTGTTATTTTTGCCAGTCGGTGCAGTCAGATCTATCTGGTTCCGTATAGGTTTTGCATGAGAGCTGATTCTTTTTCTCCATCTCTGATCCCTAAAGTACAAGATTCTCCTGTACGCCAGCCAACAGAAACGGATTGCTGCTGCCCGCATTTATCCAGCATTCACCTTTACTGTGAGTAACTGTGTTTGTTTGATAGACAGGATTATTGAATGTGGATTGCTATCTACCAATAGGTAACGTGCTCATTATTTGAGGATTATAATTCTGTGTTTCAATCTTGTTTTCTCCTCAAAAACATTTCTTAATCAGAGATACTCATTACTTTTGTAACTAGATTGGGCGCTGTTGGGCTGTATTAATGAGCTTGGTGCGAGGGAGTTGAGTGAGCATTGGTATATTGTAGGTCACCTTGACAGATTAGTTCATTAACTTGCTCAGTTAAAACCATCTTTGCTTGATCTTTAATCTGCAGAACGTTTAATAAAAATATTGTCTTGATCATTGCTTATCTGGACTCGCCTTTACATTTTAAATGAAAGGTGCTGATTTATATCCCTCAACATATTAGTCGCAATCCTGGCATGTTCAGTTTACCTTTTTATGGTGGCTATTGTCCTGGGTGCTTGTTGGGCTGTTCTCTTGGTGTGACTATTTTGGAAGCTGGACCTGCGAGGAACTGTAATGAAATGCCATGTTTCTGTCCAAGGTCATATTATTCTCTTGTCATTGTCTAACTTTGGATCAGTGAGTTAGTGTTGGTAACTGTTGGTCCTTGGTATTTTTGAACAGGGTAATGGTCATTATTTTCCAGAAGTTATTAAGTCAGTCTTGATTTTTATTTTCTTGTCTCTGTACACTTCAGTTTGCTTCCCCAATCCTGTCTGATTTGTATTCCTGGAAGGACCAACTGATTTTGGGTGCAGTTCTGCACATTCTGATTTGTTCAGTTCTTTTGACCTATAGGTCTGGCAGCATCTGTGAAGAGAAATCAAAGTTAAGACTTCCAAGTCCGGTGACCCTCCCTCAATTCTGAGCCCTGCTGAGCTTTTCCAGTAATTTCAGTTTTTGTCTGATTTACAGCATCCGCAGTTCTTTCAGTTTTTCTTTTAACCCAGTAATCGTTTTTCCATATGTGCCCTGAAAACATTAAACTATTCAGTTGTGCTGTGCATCAAAGCATTGTTCCATCCTGTCCAAAGACCAAATAACAGCATTTAGGAAGTGGATCTTTGGATTTTAACTGCACTTTCCTGCTGAACTCTGGATATTGATATCAATATCTAGCAGGTTTTATTGTTGCCTTGAATGAAAGGGGTTAACATGATATGGATCTGGGTCTTGTGAGCTCAATAGTGTCTGTAGCTTGGTTCCAGAAGTTGAATGAAAGTTAGTTGGAAGTCACTCTGCTTCACTTAACCCATCTTCTCATTCATTCTATTCAGGTTCAAGCCAATAACTATTGCGTGTTTTACGATGACCAGCGGCAGAATTGGTCAGTCATGTTTGATTCTGAGAAGGCTGTGGTGGAATTCAGCAAACAGGTAAAATCTGGCTGTAATTGTAAAGCATTCTCGCAATGTGGGCAAATTTGAAGTTTTCAAGATTGGGATCGCTAATTTTTTTAACTGCATCATGATGGAGCAAAGAAAAATTGAGTAGCATGGTCAGTCAATAGTCTAATCTCGTGTTGTTTACATGGGTATTGGCAAAGCCTGAGAATTGATAATCAGTAACTTTGTTCAATCCCTGCAGATCATGTGGGATTTGAAATTTGACTCTGAATTGTTACTGTAGGGTTAAACTGATCTGCTGGCCCCTCATTCTTACAGACCCAAGCTGTCTCCTCTACGTTTGTCCTATGTTCCTATGTTCTTGGGTAGATCAACTAATCCAGGATTGTCTATCTTCAATCACATTAAAAGGTGATTTATTTAGAGTTCAAATTTCCCACTGTGTGTCTACGTCGTGACGATCTGAAAAGTATTCAGTCTGAATTGATGTTGCTGATTAGCTTGTTCTTGGCTAATTTGTAATTATGTGATGTTGGTTCAGACTGATGTTTTCATTCTTTATTGTTTGTCACTAGTGGTATTTAGGGTTTTGGCTTGATGGATTTCAGTTAACACCAATTTTTGACTAATTTTAGCATGCAATCTCTCAGACTGTGTCTGTTTTTCGTCTCTATTTGCTTCCACTGTGCAGGTATGTTTGGCAAAATGCAGCAGCACCTCAACATTGGAATCTGTGCTGATCCAAGATCTGGCCCCAGGAGAAGGACAGGCAGTTGAAACTGGGGACTCTCTGGAAGTGTCCTACACAGGTTGGCTTTACCAGAACCACACATTTGGACAGGTAAGGGCAAATTGACTTAATACTATGGCTCAGTTATTTGGCTTTTTGATGTTCTGAATTTGTGCTGCTTTACAGATTTATATTGTACTTTAAATATAGGTCCATCTTCAAGTCCAGTTGTCATTCCGAACTGGGAGCTTGGTGTTTGAATATAGATTGGGGAAAATTTGACCTTTCGAACACAGCCCAAACTGGTGTGATTGAAAACCTCTGGTTCTAGGGGTCCCAGGTTTGGGCAGTCTTTCCCATTTCCTTAACTTGAATGCCAAACAATGCTCATTTCACTGACCATAGAATGGCTGGTGTAGGAAATAGAGAAGAGACACTAGTGCAAAAATAGTTGCTCTGCTGAGGAATGTTGGGTAGGAAAGAGTAGCGGAAGGTCCATGCACTTTGTTTCCTGCTCTTTGTCACATTTGCTGTTTCAAACTTCTGTTTTTCAGGTTTTTGATACGAACGTGAATAGAGACAAGTTGTTGCGGCTGAAAATAGGATCTGGGAAAGTGATAAAGGTAAGCCCAGGGTATTGTGGAACAGGAATGGAGACATGGAGGTCCTGGTGGAGTAGGGGATTAGTGGGAAGAATGGAATGTGAGTGGAGTGAATTGTGGGCATTATTAATTGGAGAATTTGACTTGGTTGTGAAAATAAGAATGCAAACTGTAGTACTGGTAAGTACACAGTGAATCAAAGTAATGTGCTGTAACGATCTGTTGCCCATGAGCTAGGTTCAGAACATAAGAACTAGGAGTAGACAATTCAGCCGACTTGAGCCCGTTCTGCCATTTCACATGATCATGGTTGATCTCATCTCTGCCTCAACTCCACTCTGCTGCCTGCTCCCATAATCTATCAACCTGTTAATAATTAAAAATCTTCCTCGCTCCTCAAATTTGCTCCATATTCCAGCATCCACCCCCTGTGAGTAAGTGAATTCCACAGATTTATGACCTTTTTGAGAGAATAATTCCTCCTTCTCTGACATAAATCTGCTACCCCTGATCTGAAAACTGACCTCTTGTTCTGGATTGCTCCCGCAAGAGGAAACATCTTTTTTACTTTGTCAATCCCCTTGAGCATCTTATGTACATAGGTGGGAGGTGTTCGAGAGTGTGATGGGGAGAAATTAGAGGCATTATGTGCCCGTTAGTGAAGGGAAAGACTGGTAAGATTCAGGGACAATGGATGACTAAAGATTTTGACGTTCTAGTCAAGAATAAAGGAAAATCTTATTTTAGATACAGACCACTTGGTTCAACTGACTCTCTTAATATAAAGAGTGTAGGGGCATAAGTTTGTACTTTGGAGAAAGAAATGGAGTCTAGAGAATGCAGAGAGGATGTTCTGGAGGTCTTAAAAATAGAAAGGTGGATAAATCTCTGGGACCTGATCCAAAGTATTTCAGAACATTGTGGGAAGTAAGCGAGGAAATTGAGACCCCTTGCAGAAATATTTGCATTATCTATACCAATGGGTGAAGTGCCTGATGACTGGGTGGCTAATGTTGTACCTTTTAATTTAAGAAAGGTTGTAAGGAGAAACTGGGGAACTATAGGCCAGAGAGTCTGACTTCAGTTGTGGGTAAATTGTTGGAGGTGATTTATGAAATATAGGATTTATGGATGTTTAGAGAGGCAGAAATTGATTAGGGATAGTCAGCATGGTTTTGTGTGATGGAAAAGTGTGTCTTTCAAACTTGATTGAGTTTGAGGAAGATACCAAAAATATGGGCAGTGCAGTAGATGTTATTTATTTGGATTTGAGTAAAGCCTTTGACAAGGTTCCAGAAGGTAGACTTAATTAGTAAAGTTAGGTCACGTGGGATTCAGGGTGAGCTTGCCAATTGGATACATAATTGGCTTAATGACAGGAGAGACAGAGGGCAATAGTGGAGGGTTGCTTTTCTGACTGGAGGCCTGTGACCAGCGGTGTTCCACAGACATTGGTTCTGAGATCCCCTCTTGTTTGTCATTTTATATAAATGATTTGAATGAGAATATAGAAGGCATGGTTAGTAAGTTTGCAGATGACACCAAACTTGGTTTTCTAAGATTACAAAAAGATCATGACCAAGTGGGTCAATGGGCTGAAAAACGGCAGATGGAGTTCAATCTGGATAATTGTGAGGTATTGCATTTTTGTACAACAAACAAGGCTAGGGGTTCTACAATTAATGGTAGGGCCTTGGGTAGTGTTGTAGAACAGAGGGACCTAGGGTACAGGTACATTATTCTTTTGAAGTTTGCATCACATATAGACAGGGTGGTTAAAAAGGTGTTTGGTAAGCTTGCCTTCATTGCTCAGTCTTTTTGAGTATAGGAGTCGGGAAGTCATGTTGAGGTTGTACAGGACATTAATGAAGCCTCTTCTGGAATATTAGGTCCATTTCTGGTTGCCCAGTTATAGGAAGGATGTTATCAAGCTGGAGAGGGTTCAGAAGAGATTTACCAGGATGTTGCTGGGTTTGGAAGGCTTGAGTTATAAAGAAAGACTGGATAGGTTGGAACTTTTTTCCCCCTGAAGTGTAGGAATTTGAGAGGCGACCTGATAGAAGTTTATAAAATAATGAGAGGTATCGATAGAGTTAATGGTAGCTGTCTTTTCCTTAGGACGGGGAATTTCAAGACTAGGAGGCACATTTTTATGGTGAGAGGGGAGAGATTTTAAAAAAGACACGAGGCAAACTTCTTACGTGGATAGTTGGCGTGTGGAATGAACTTCCTAAGAAAGTCGTGGATGTGGGTACAATTACAACGTTTGAAAGACATTTGGATAGACATGTGAATAGGAAAGATTTGGAGGGATATGGGCAGGAGCAGGCAGGTGGGACAAGCTTAGTTTGGGACCATGTTCAGTATGGACTGGTGGATGAAGGGTCTGTTTCTGTGCTGTATGACTGTGTGACCTCAATTAGATCTCCTCTCATCCTTCCAAACTCGAGAGCAACAGGATAAGTACCTCCATGACCAACTTTCTCCTCTTCCACCACCTTACTTTCTATAAGCTTTTGGCTATTACCCTTGATGTTATCTGGAGAGTTTTTTGTTTTGGTGATCTTATTCTGCCTGCATGCACACACCTTAATCTTATGTTTTAGCCCCCGCAGTCCTACTTTTAGCCAGGTTCCCTCTAAGTAAGCTACATTTTAATGCTGTTCTTAGACCATATTTTCAGTATTTCAAATTTATTTCTTTTGTCCTTGTGAGGGATATACCTGTTAATTCACTAACTACTTTTATTGACTTTGGTAATGGATTCTCCTATACTCTGTCAAAATCTTTTTCATCCTTTTAGGTTTGGCATCACTTTAATTTACTTTCTTTGTGTTGTCTGTACCCTGAGTGCCCACAGCATTCAAATTTAAGTAATTTTGTCATATGATGGTCACTGCTGCAAGATCCTTTACTTTGGTCTTTGTATTTTAGAATGGTATGGTGTGAATGGTATGGTTTACTAGGTTACTTGTAGGGTGATAAGAGTCAAACCGGTTCCTTAACTAAAGAATATTTGAATATGAATTTCTAATGGAAATCAGCAGCTTTGTAGTTACTTTTACTCATACCAACTCTTGATTTCCATATCAATCTGTTGGGAATTATTTGCTGATCTTTGTAAATTTTGCAGGGCTGGGAAGTTGGGATGCTGGGAATGAAGAAGAATGGAAGGAGACTGTTGATCGTGCCTCCAAGTTTGGCATATGGATCACAGGGAATACCAAACCGAGTTCCAACCAATGCCACGCTAATCTTTGAAGTGGAGGTTAAAAGGGTGAGTGTTAGTTAAGGTGGATCTAAGTTTTCATTCCATTCCAGGCTAAGGCGAAACCATGTCTGGCTTATCTTGGGAATAGATGCTGATTGATCCAATCAGAGTTGGGGGAAAATAACAATGTGGTTCGAGCTGGCATCCACTTTGAAGACTTTCACTTGGAATTTTAGTTGAAGATGATTGTGGATTTAATCAAATGATTCAAATTGATTATGTGAGCAAAGGATAACATATTACTTATGCAATGATGTGTGTTGTTTTAATGTATAGAAGAGGGTTTCCTGAAAATTTGTTTTGAGCATAATGTGGCTTATCTCATTAAGAATTTTAGTTTCTATATTCTAACACTTTCAGACCTACTAAACAGTCAACTTGTCATTGCATACTCACACTGATAGCAGAACTGAACACTGAAGATCTTTGTGTGGTTGTTTTACCAGTTCAGTGAATCTGTGATGGGCAGGGAGGTGTTATTTGGATATTTTTGAACTAGAAAGCTCACTTTGTCACTCTTTGTCATAGGTAAAATTTGCAAAGGAATCTGGGTTTGACAAGCAGAGTACCAGCTCTCATGAATCTACTGCATCTTCACCAGCCCCCAGCATAGAAAGCCTGACCGCAGAAACTGCGATCCCAGCACCAGTGTCTGTGCCTCCAAAGCCTGGGTATGAAAGGTGTCTAACGTGGCTAGCTTTCAGTTCTTCTGGTTCCACTGACTTGTTCCCTATTTACAATCTTGTTGAACTGTGCTATGGAGTAGTTAGTTACATTTCAGATTTTGAGAATCTGGAGGGTTCCTTTTGACAAAAAGATGAACCATTGCTGCACTCCCTTTCCGAGATAGAACACTTCACAATGTGTTCTGAAGCTCAACCACCTGAGCTTGTTCTCTGACATAAAGATTAAAAAATGTTGGGAATGCTAGGTCAGACAGCATATAACTATCAATATTTCAGGTCTGTCACCTTGCGTTTGAACTGGCAAAAGTTAAGAAATTTAACAGGTTTCAAGCAAATGAAGGGGAGGAGAGTAAGAGAAGAACAAATTGACAAAGTGGAAGACAGGAGAGCTTAAATGATGAAAGTTTGTGGTGCAGTCACAGTACAAGTTTTAAAAAGTGTTTCCAGACCTGATGTGTCTAGTTGTGATGATACTATGGTTTTAAGATGCGATTTTTAATCTTCAACTTATTCCAAAAACTTTGAGGTTATGATCAGTATATACAATTGCTTCAGATGTATTACTGGCAATGGAAGTGCTGAAATGTTGTGATGCCAACACCTAGCTCAAGTTCACCTCCTTAATCATGGGGTATTTGTTGATTATTCAATATTCAGGAGAAATATCAAGAGGTCGTTCTATCTTCTGGTCATCTTGTTAACCAGACCTTCAGCACCGACAACTACATCAATCGCATTGATAACCACTTTAAGTGGTCTTGTGTAATTAGGTGTGGCTAACACTGGGGCAGTGGTTAACACAGATTTCAGGCTGTCAAATGCCTTCTGACATTCCTCAGTCCACTGAAATTTTCTGCACTTCATCAATGGCAACCACACTGCCAAAATTAGGTATGGACTTTTGATAAAAGTAACTCAGTCCCAGGAAATATAGTACATCCCTGTTTGTCGATGTATGGGAAACTCCTCGATAACCTTTGATTTCACATCCTGTGGGGCCATTTGTCCATATCTAATGACTGGGCGTTTGCGAATTCACTCTAAGCCAGGTCTATCTCACAGCCTGCCCCCAGCCTCTCCCCCGCCCCCCCAAAAAAAAATCAATTGAAGAATTCCAATAGGTGCTGCAAATGTTTCTTCCATGTGTGACTATAAATCAGCAGATCGTCTATGTGCACCCCACAATTGGGAAATATCAAAATGACTATTGGTTAGTCTTTGAAAAATGCATCAGCCACATTTCATACCAAATGGCATGACTTTAAACTAGTGCATTCGGTGTCTTAAAAGCTGAAATTATCTTCGCTCTTTTGGACTAAAGGTACCTGCCAGTTTCCTCCTGAGTAAGTTTAACTTTGAAATGTATGTTGCTCGTCCCGTCTTCTCAATACAGTGTTCCAAACATGAAATAGGATTAAAAATCAGTGTGTAACTGCATTGACTTTGCGATAGCCTGCACATAATTGTTGGGGACCATCTGGTTTTGGCGCCATTACAATGGGTGAGCACCCATTGCTGCAACTTGTTTTGATTAAATTGTCTTTGTCTTTGAGCATGTGTTCAATTCTTTTTGAACCTGCGTCAACTTTAGAGGGTTAAGTCTAAAAGGATGTCACTTAATTGGAATAGCATTTCCTATATCTACATGCATAATTAGGTTAGTACTTCCCAGTTTATTCCCAAATATCTCCCATGTGATTGTAGTAACTGTTTCAAATTTTTGAGAACCTCCTCACTGTCCGATTCAGAATCATCTGAACTTGGTTCTTCACTCTTTTTTAACTAATAACACATTCTCCTTTTGCTTTCTTTCCCTATCAAAATATCTTTTTGAACATGAACATAAACAAAAACTAAAATTGTTGGAAAAGTTGAGCAGGTCTGGCAGCATTTGTGGAGAGAAGTCAGAGTTAATGTTTTGGTTTGAGTGACTCTGCCTTTGAGTCCAATAATCCGAAACCCACCCTGGAATTAGAGATTTTGATCCTGACCAGAGCCTCAATTTGTTACGAACTAGACCCAGCCCCCTCAAAATACATTAAGATGATAGTCTAGCCTCTAAGTTTTTCTTATTTTAAATGTAGGTGTAAGGCGTCACGTTCCAGATGCAATTCCATTGGTCAAATTACAGTTTTAAACAAAATATGCCTTACTTTTACAATAGTTAAAATACAGATAAAATAAAAATCAAAGTCAAGAATTGACTTAACTGTAACTTTATTGAAATGCATAACCAAGGGATAGATATATTAATTACTACTAATTAACCGTTCCAATGTAGTAACATTCCATAAACACACCCTTGACAAAGGCAAATTCAGTAAAATTGATTTGTCTACAATTCTAGCAGCAGGAAGAGAACCCCAGCTTTTAGCTGTAACAAAGAGGAATAAGAGCTTCCACATCCAGCTTCAAGACCCCAGCATCTCCCGAAGGCTAAAACTAAAATAAATCCTGTTTTTGTGGGAGCTTGACCCCACCCATTCAGACTGCTTCTGTTCCAATGTTTTAAAAGTAAACCCACAAGGGCCTCACAATATGTTTATTGGCTTTGGAGCAGACTGCTCATCACATTTTCTCAATTTTTCTTAAAAAGAAAACAGGATAAAATACACTTCTTCAAGCCATAGTATTGTCACATGGTAGACTGAAGAGCTGCTGTTGGCAAACAAACACAAGGGCGAGACCAAAACTGCAAATAAAACCAGATGAGTGCAGAGATTGCTGAACTCTGCTGTTTCTGAAGGCAGTAAAGTGCCTACTTGAATGATGAGGTCTTGCTTGTCAACTAAATAGAGATCACTCAAACTCTGTCCTGTAGTGCGGTTGAGGAGAGAAGTAAATGCTCCTCTTGCCAGTGATGCACATGTTATGAAACTCCTCAGTGCATCCAGACTTTTGACATAAGTGTTGCAGTGTAGTATTTATGCCGGAGATACTTCAACTGTACATTGGTGCCCCCCCCCCCCCCCCCCCCCCAATTGAAGACCATTGTCAAGTAGAATTTGCTTCAGTGTCCAATTTCACTTTGCTGTACACTGCACCCTCTATGGATGCATTTGGTAAGGCTTAATTTGGGGAGTTTTGAAAGTTAGTGCCTGATACCTATTTGATTTATTTGAGAGAGGAGCTCTCTCTGGTGTTTTGGATGTACTGAATTATCAGGAATATCTTTGTAGATAAGAGGGGAAATGGGTTCATCCTTAAAAAGCTGTTACTGAAAAAAATCTATCCATTCTTATGCTTGTCAGGGAGCATGTGGTGCGGGCCAAGTCTAATTCACTAAGTGACACGTTGGCTGTAAGTAAGAGTTCTCCTTTATTGTTTTTGTTGTACAGTGACCTCTGCCTGCTGTTCAGTTATCTTTTCATTTTTCTTTTTGGCCATTGTGATTCTATTTTCCCTCTCATTTGCTTTTACTTCCTGTGTGAATCTTGAATTGAAAACGAATCGGGCAACTAGTTCCTGATGTCTGCCGCTGTTGATCAATTGCAATGTATGGAAGAGATGCACGCAGCTCTAATTCCTCCTTGGTCTTTCTGCAAAGTGACGTGACTGAAAATAGGAACGCGGCAAATAGAGTTGTGATCGTGAATGTGTGATGAACCACTTCATGATGCTGGACTTCGTATAGCCGTGTTTCTGAAACTGTAGACTTTGTGGCTCACTCAGTCCACGTTTATATTCCTGCATCAAATCAAAATTTCATCGGTTAATGCTAAATAATTGAGTTCAGTCCCTGAAATAAAGGGGAATTTAGAGAATTACCATTTTCTTGCTTCTGCTTAGTTACACACAATCATTGTCTTTTGTTCTCCCCTAGAATCCAGACACCATGAAAGCCAAATTGATTTCTCGAATGGCGAAGATGGGTCAGCCAATGCCATTTCTCACAGGAGCTCTCTCTGCACAGCCTGACTCCAGTGACTCTGAGCTTGAGGTAAAAATTTAGCAAGGCCCACACTTCTGTTTTATTTTTGTCTGTATTATTCACCTTACAATATTTCAGTTCATCTACTTCTGTACGAATGAGTGTTTTTGGTTCTAAGCCACTTGGGGGAAATGGAAGAGAGAGAACTGATGAGCCTTGGGAGGTATTTTGGGTTGGGATGGTGGTGCCTGTGGGGGAATGGAGGGGAAAGGGAGGAATGCTATCCTAAACCTTAACAGACATGGCTAGCTGTCCAAAAATAAATTATTGAACAAAACTTTTAAAAAATATTTATTTCAAATAACTCCTTGTTTATTGCTTATGGCAAATGTGCTGTTTTATAAGAAATGGTCTTTAGCATATAATGTGGAATGCCTTTGCAGAGAGGTGGGGGGAGAGGTCATATACATAGTTTAAGTCAGTGAGTTCTCGTCAGGGGACTTCATAAACTCCAGTGTTCAGTAACTGGCTTCCTCACTTCATTTTAAAATTTAAAATGCTCTGAATCCGTAATAAAGTGACACAGGCCACGTTCAACGTTTCCTTTGTAGGTAAAGATAGTTTGGGACAGCATCATTGTCACCCTTTTACACAGGGTGTAAACAGAAAATATAGAAGCAGGAGTAAGCCATTCAATCATCAAGCCTGCTCCGTCATTCAATATGATCATGGCTGATCCTTCATCTCAAAGCCATACTCCTGCTTTCTCTCTGTACCTCTTGACGTGTTTTAGCTTTTAGAAATCTCTTTCTGTTAAATATATTCAGTGATTTTGCCTCCACAACTCTTTCTGGGAGAGAATTTCACGGGGTCACCGCTGAAGAAATTCCTCCTAATCTTAATCCAAAATGGCCTACTGCAAATTCTGAGACATTGAGAGCATGTTCTGGGTCCCCAGCCAAGGGAAACATCATCCATACATACAGCCGGTTCAGCCCTGTCAGAATTTTAAACTTTTCAGTGAGATTTCCCCTCATTTTCCTAAGCTCCAGTTAATACAGACTTGGCTGATCATGTCTTTTTTCTTGTGCAACAAATTTGCCATCCTAGGAGTCAGTCCAGTTAACTTTTTTGTTGCAATCCCTCCTATGGCAACTGTATCCTTTGGGTAAGGAGACCATAATTGCAAACAATACACCAGGTGTGATTTCACCAAGGCTTTATACAGCTGCCGGAAAACTTCCTTCCTCCTGTACTGAAACAGTCTTGCAATGAAGGCCAACATACCATTTGCTGCCTTAACTGTTTGCTGCACCCACATGTCTGCTTGCAGTTGCCAGTGTGCAGGGGCATCCGGGTCCCTTTTCACATCAACATTTTCCAATCTATCACCAATTCAATTACACTCTGCCAGTCTCTCTTCTTTTTCCTACCTTAGTGGAAACTTTTATCTACATTATGTTGTATCTGCCATGCATTTGCCCACTCTGTCACCTTGAAGCATCTTTGCATCCTCCTTGCTCTAACTCCCATTTAGTTATGCGTCATCAGCAAACTTGGAAATATTACTTTGGTTCTCTCATCCAGATCACTGATCTGTTATGTACAGCTGGGGCCCAAGCACTGATCCCTGTGGCACCCACTTGTCACCACCTTCCACTCTGAAAACAACCCATTTATTGCTACTCTGTATCTCGTCTAATTCTCAATCTGAAGCAATTAGCATATTACCACCAAACACCTATTTTATTTGAATTTGAACACCAACCTCTGATGTGGGACTTTATCAAAAGCTTTCTGAAATTCCAATTAACCATGATCACTTCTCTCGCATTGATTCTACTATTATGTTCTCAAAAAAAATTGCAGTCAATTTGTCAAGCACTGTTTTCATAAATCAATGTTGACTTAGAAAATGCTGTTGGAATCAGAGTTATCACATCATTTATAGCACGCTTCAGCATTTCCCTGCTACTGATGCTGGGCAAATGAGTTTGTAATTCCTGATTTTCTCCCTAGTTTCCTTTTTTAAACAGTGAGGCTACATTTGACACCCTCCAATCTGTTCATAATTTGCAGGATTTTGGAAGCTAACAAATGAATCCACTACTTCCAAGGCCGCCACCTTCAGCATCCTGGGATTTATATTATTGCGCCCTGGAATTTATCCATTTTCAGTTCCATTAATTTTTGCAGTACTACTTTTTTACCTAATGCTCTTAAACCTCTTTCGATTCCTACTTAGCCAGAGACACTTGCTTCCCTGGCACTTTTTTGGAAGTTATTGGTGTTGTTGTCTTTGGAGACAGAACTAAAGCAGTTGTTTAATTGCTGTGCCATTTCCTCATTCTTCATCATTGTCCTGTTTCCGATTATAAGGGGCCTACATTTGTCTGCCCTATTCTTTTCTTTTTTTCTTTTTTTTCTTACAAAACAAAGCTCTTGCAGTCCACTCTTGCAATTTTACTCTCCAACGCAACTTTTCCTCTCTTAATTGATCTCTTGGTCCTCCTTTGAGTTCTGAGTATTCTATGACTTCTTTTCGATCTAATACTGTTCTTAATTCATTTTGTTTATTGTAGTTTGGCCACTTTTCCTGTTGCGTTCTTTTGTCCGTAAGAAATGTGAACAACTGTTTTAATGTATGCATTATTCTTATGTACTAACTGTTGCCTATTCACTGTCACGCTTTAGCCTGCATAACTTCATTATATCACAGCCAACTTGTCCCTCATATCTTTGTTTAGATTAGGTTCAGATTGAACTACTTCACTATCTATGTTGAAGAATTTTGGTCACACACCCCCTCCCCCCAGAACATTCTCAGCAATATTATTAATAAACCCCTTGTTGCACAAAACCAAATCTAGGATAGCCTGTTTTCCCCCTACGTGGTTCTTCGTGGTATTAGTCTTTAAAAATTCTTGTGCTCATTCCAGGAATTCATCTGCCACCAAGCAACTAATGTGGTTTTCCTAATCCGAATGTAAATTAAAGCTAGCCATGATGACTGTTGCACTTTTGCGTACACTCTCGTTTTCTGTTTATTCCTATTCCCTACATAATCACTATGGTTTGGAGGCCAATCAACATCAACCACTAACGTTTTCTGCACCTTGTTGTTTCTTGGCTCCTCTCAGACAGATTCAACATCCAGATTTCCTCGACCAATATCTTTTCTCTATGTTATGCTGATTTTGTCTTTTACCAATAACAACCGCCACCTACTTTCATTTTGCTGGACCTTCCTAAGGATTGAATACCAACCATTCCACCGCCCTCCCAGACCATTGTCTACGGCTGAACCAATTTGTTTGCAACCATGGTGCTCTACACAGTCACCAAACTGAATTTCTAAATACGTCTTCTCTCCTCCTCCTCCTTTTCTGATTCCCAAATCTCTCCATATCTCATCCAATCAATCTGCTTGTGCAACCCTCACCTTGTCATCTCTGGACTCTTACTCCAATGCACCCCAGGCTGCCCCCTCATGCTTGTCTTCTGTATTTCAGCTTGTTTTGTACTCTGCAGCTAAAAATACTTGCACAAACCATGTTCTTATCACTCATCTCTTCTATTCTTGGCTTTTCAAATACTAATTTTTCAACTTTTGTTTTAAATTTCTTCATGACTCTTCTCTTACCAAAGTCTGCAGTCTTCTCTAATCATACCACCATGCCGACTCCATTCTTGCCAAACTCTCCCAGACTCTTGTTCTTTCCTGTTGTGCAGCAATTGTGCACTAAGAGCACATTCCTTGCCTAAACCCACATGTTGCTTAACTTTCTTTTTTTTTTTCTGACCATCCTTTTGTTTTCAACCATCTTTGCCTAAGCTGGTCACCTTTTCTATGAGCTCCTTATTAAGTGTCCACATCATTTTTTGATTAGACCTCTAAATTGAAAAGGATTGTTTATGTAAGAGGCATTATATAAATTAGGTTTATCCTTGTTATCCTCAGTCCTAGGTTGTTAAATTCTAATCTGAAAGCTTTTCATATCCAGTTCCTTACTCTGTCCAGCCAAAGGATTTATTTAAGATGTAAAGAGGTCCCATTGTTTGACCTTGACAATCTATCTCCATACATCAGATACATCTTTGCATTGGGTATTGAGTTGTTGCGAGCTGGCTTGAGTACGGCTGAGCACTTGTTTTTATTTTCTTCACCCACTATTTCCTTAATGTCCTGTATCAATCCAACAGGATCATTCATTGAAGGCTACCCCACTTGCTGCTCCATCTCCTGCCCCATCATCGGTTCCGCACACTGCACATCCTGTTCACAATCTGCCTCCACAGCAGCCAGCACCAGGTAGAGTGTCTGTTCAGCTAACCTTGACCCTCTCATTGCCAATTCTGTTATATTTTAAGATTTGAACCTATGGTGTCTCTCTCAAATTAAATTAATCTCACATAAATGTACAAATTTTATTTGAATCGCAAGTCCTTCGGTTTGCTTGGTGCCTTGATCTGTCATAAAGCCACCATTGCTAATGTGGCAATAATGATGTCTCTACAGGCTGGAGAATGAAGAGATCCCTTGTTCTCTGTGGCATCATGCCACACTAGGCTCCTGCTCGCTATGAAGCAGCTAGTTCTCAAACGTTAACCAGTTTAATTTCACACTTTAGAGTACTCATCTATTTGTCATTCCTTGCAGGCAGTTATTTTCTGAATTATCATATTTTGTCTGTTTTTTTCCCTGTATTAACAGTGTCTGTTTCCATGCACGCATCCTCCTCTGCAGCACTATTGCCAGTCACACTTTCTGCACAACAAGGACTGGCTGGCAGTGGACAGACTTTCCAGGTACATTGAAACATCTTCCATCAGTTTAGATTCAAGAGGGGAGGTAAGGGGCAAAACTTGTGAATTTCAGCCATCATGAAACTTGGAATGCTGAGGATTGTCTCCAACTCACATTGTGATACAGACGTTTTCCTGTCTGAACGTTTTGAGTTAAATTTGCCCAAATGAACCTTCCACTGTATTGAATAGTTGTGACTGTTAACTTTTCTGATGCAAAGCTTAGGGTATGGTTATCTGCTGACTGAGATCAGTCACAATGGAGAATTCTCACTGACAACAAGCCAAGAAGTGACAAGCAGGTTTTATCATTCACTTTTTATAATTTTACAATAATTGTGCAAGGCTTTTTGGGACCTTTTGGGTATCTTTAAGCATTTGACAACCAATTACTTTTCAAATGTCTTTGCCATTGTAATATTGTGAGCACAACAGCCAAGTTGCACACAAACTCTCATAAACAACAATATAATAATCAGATTTTACGATTAAGGGATAAATATTGGCCAGGACTTGGATCTTCTCATACTGTATATTAGTGGAATCTCAAATTTCTCCATTTCATTAGGCTTTAAATTTCCTTTTTAAGGTACACAAATATTTAAGCTTCTACTTTAACCCCTTGTATGTTCAGTCCGGGGAAGTGGGCTGAAAAATGGCAAATGGAGTTTAATATTGATAAGTGTGAGGTGTTGCATTTTGGAAAGTCAAGGTGGGAGTTTCATGGTGAATGGTAGGGCCTTAAGGAGTGCAGCAGAAGAGAGGGACGTTGGAGTTCAGGTGCACGATTCTGTGAAAGTGGAGTCACAGGTAGACAGGGCAGTGAAGGCAGCTTTGGCATACTGGCCTTCATCAGTCAGGGCATTGAGTACAGAAGTTGGGACGTTATGTTATGTTGTACAGGACATTGTATGGTCACACTTGGAGTATTGTGTTCAGTTTTTGTCGCCTTTGCTATAGGAAGGATGTTATTTAAACTGGGAAGAGTGCAGAAGAAATTTATAAGGATGTTGCCAGGACTCGCGGGACTGAGTTATAGGGAGAAGTTGGACAAGCTAGGATTTGTTTCTTTAGAGTGCAGGAGACTGAGGAGTGGGTTTCTTTTTATAGAAGTGTATAAGATCATGAGATGCATGTATAGGGTGAATGCACTCTGGGTTTTTCCCATGGTTGGGGAATCGAGGACTAGAGTGCATCAGTTTAATTTAAGAAGGAAAAGAATACATGGGAACCTGAAGGGCAACTCTTTTTACACAGAGGATGGTACGCATATGGAATGAGCTGCCGGTAGAAGTGGTTGAGATGGGTGCATTAACAACAACTGAAAGCCACTTGGAAGAAGACATCGATAGGAAAGTGCAGAGAAATGGACTTAGCGTGGATGGACGTTTTGGTCGCCTTGGACCAGTTTGGGCCGAAGGGCCTGTCTCTGTGCTGTAGGACTCTGACTCTATGACTAGCATTTTTTTATGTTGCTCATATCACTTAATTTCAAGCATTCTTAATGAGACCAATGTTTCTGCATTCTCTGCTCATTGCTGGGCTATTTGGTAAACCTTCATGGTATTGCTTTGTTGATCAGCACAATGCTGCTTTTTACCAGACAATGGCAAGTGGCTTCATGCACTAACAATGAGTCTGCACTAGAGTAACCTGTTCATTTGAGCTTGGTCACTTCCTGATCCTTCACACTAGTTAGAAAGGTGAAGAGGATGCTATTTGTTCAGCTGAGGAAGAGTGGTGAAGTTGGCATACATGATTGAAAACTAATGGTAGACTAAAAACTGGCATGGCAGCTCAGTGGTTAGCACTGCTGCCTTTCAGCGCCAGGGACCTGGGTTCAGTTTTACCCTCGGGTGACTGTGTGGAGTTTGAACATGTCCCTGTGTCTGTGCGGGTTTCCTCCCACAGCCCAAAGAGGCACAAGGATAGCGGATTGACCATGCTAAATTGCCCTATCCAGGGATGTGTGGATTAGGTGTGTTAGTCATGGGAAATATAGGCTAGGGGGATGGGTCTGGATGGGTTGCCCTTTGGAGGGTCGGTGTGGACTTGTTGGACCGAATGGCCTGTTTCCACGCTATAGACATTCTATGATCTATAAAGGAAATTTTGAGGATTTTGTTTCAATGAAAACAATTCCATAGTCTTGTCAATCTCTTCTGTCATTCAGCCGTATCCCGGGATATCCTATGGTTACCCACCAGGTCCTGCTGCGCAGACCCAGATTCAGACAGTTGCACCGATGTTCCCAGCCCAGGCACCTCAGTACCAAGGTACATGTGTGTTGAAATCGTAACAGGCATTATGCTAATCTGATTACATTTTTTGTTAGTGTTAAGCTTCTGGAATGAATCTTAAACTGAGAATCTGTATTTGCAGTCTGATAACTGGTATTTGCTATATCTCCTTTTTCCAGTTTTGTAGATACTTGCTTAGTTTTGTGATTCTAGTGTTTGTCCAGTTTGTTGAGCAGCAGGTGGTAAAGCAGCTTGCAAAGCATATGGGTAAAAAGCTGTTGTTCCAAGCAAAATATTTCAACACTTAGTATAAGTTGTTGTGCATCTTCTCTTGTTTTAATAGCTGCTGGAGATGTCACTTCCTTTATGATGACAGAGGCACGTCAGCATAACACGGAGATTCGACTAGCTATCAGTAAGGCATCTGATAAAATTGACCAGCTTTCTCTTAAGGTGGGTTGCTACTGGAATCTTCAGCCTAGCATGTTTCAGAACATTGGATCAGCAACTCAGAGGCCAGTGAGCACTAATAGTGCTATCAGTTACAGATATTAGCTTGTTTGATCATAGGTATTCAAATATTCTTGCTGTAGTCAATGAATATTCTCCGCAGCTGCCAGCAGTATCACTGTTTCTTTGTCGCTGGTTGAAAATCCTGAAACACCTTTCCTCGAGCACAATGGATGCACCTACACCAGGTGGATAGCTGTGTCACAAGAAGGTGGCTTATCACCACCTTGAGGGCCATTGGGGATGAACACCAAATGCTGACCTTTCCAGCCCCACACATTCCATGAAAGATTTTTTAAACTTCCATGACCCAAGAACTAAATTTTTTAAAAATAAATTTGGGGGAAGATAAAATCAGGCTTGACTTTTGCAGCACCCAACTGACTGCTGTTACTGATGCAAGGTGATCGCGAAAATATAAGGACATGGAATTCGGGTGCAAAGCCAAGGATATACAAGCTTGACAGAACGAGGCAAGAGTGATGCTGGCGGTCAAAAGATGGGATGTGATGGATAAAATGTGTGTAACGACGCAAGTGGGAAGGGTGCACCATTTCACAAGCCACCACAAATGTGTAATTGCCACAGCTATCCACCTGGTGTAGGTGCATCCATTGTGCTCGAGGAAAGGTGTTTCAGGATTTTCAACCAGCGACAAAAAAAACAGTGATACTGCTGGCAGCTGTGTAATTGCCCAATGAAACAACGAAGATGAAGAGTTTGCCTGATGGACTGTTATTTTGGAAAAAGCACTTCACACCAGGTTTCACCTTGAACAGGAAATAATTATTTATTGTAAATAAACTTAATTCTTACTGTTTGTTAAAGAATACTAATTTACTGCTACGCAATTCAAGCTATAACCCTTTAAAACACATCCATTCAGTCACAAATAAGAGAGTTTGACACAAATAGAATATTGGGAAAATAAAGGGAGAAACAAATTATGCAGATCAGACTACTCTGCAAGAATGCAATGTCTTTGTCACAATTCTTCTGAATTTTAGCAACATTGACAATGTTGTCTACAGAGAGATTGGTTGATCCTCGATTCAGTAGCTAATCAAGTCAACCGATGTATTTTTCATATTTTCCGTAGAGTCACTGGATATTTTTCTTCCTTCCGAGTAGAGAGAAAGAGGTGATTTTCAGTTTGCTTGCAGGATGATGGATGTCTCTGATGTACTATCTTACAGGTCTGAAACTGCACTGCAGCAAATCCGAAGGGCAAATGCTAGGCAGTTTTTCCTTAACTCAGATTCCTGGTTCTACTGTCTTGTCCCTCACTCCTCCAAAAAGTAACATACACTTATGTAGCTAAAGTGTACAATCCCACTTTACCATCAAGTTACAAAGAAACTCTCTCGCTACTTTTATAGCGCAGTGTCCATTCCTACCTTGTAGTCCAAAAGGGAAAGTACATGGACTTTTACATGTGCATCACTTTTTAGGAGAATACGGCTGATGTTTATCCTTCCGTTTTGCAGGTAGATGACTTACAGAAACATTTGAATGGGCCCTCATTTCCTGGCATTTCATCAGTAACAATGGAAACCAGCATGATCATGCACAACATCCAGAGAATTATCCAGGTAAGCACTGTCACCATGTCTCTAGATGTTAGGTTTGTGGAGAAGATCCTATAGGGATTTTTGATCTCTAAGTTACCTAGAATGGAACAGGAAATCATGAGAATTTAGCATTTTTTTGATAGGGGAAATCAGCAGTTGGAAGTGATTGTTATCATCCTCTGTGACATTGTATTATTAGCATAATCTAAGTCATGGCCATCCGTTGTGCATCTCCTTTCTATAGATATTGCAGTAGCCTGTGTTTCAAATTAGAATTTTCATGCAGCCTTATTTGCACATGGTATTATACCTCCAAGCAATGTTGACTATGATGGGCCTTTGTGAATTTTATGCAGAGTTAATCTGCAATGGCAGTGAGTATTTTCATAATCAGGATATTCTGAATATGTTTATGAACACTTGCCCTCCATCCTGGTGTGTATATGTAATGGACACCAATGCTGGTGCTATTTTCCTTTGTATGTTACAAAGCACTTATGCAGTCACTGTGCTCAGACACTTAACATTTTATGAGAGTTCAATAACAGCTGTTAATAGTCAGTGGCACTCTGTCCAAGTAAAATAGCATCTGCCATTATTTTCTGAAGTGTGTTATTAGCCAGCAATCGTGCTGCTTTGCATATTTGCATGTTAGCAGACAGTCATTCCCCAGTGAGTGTATGGTATTTCTATATACTTAAATTATGTTTTGTTTGTTTTTTCCTTTGCAGGAGAATGAGAGGCTGAAGCAGGAAGTGTTTGACAAAAGCAGTCGAATTGAAGAACAGAATGGGAAGATCAGTGACCTGATCCAGAGAAACCAAAGGTACTGCGATAGGAGCAAAACTGCTTGGATCCTGGTGACCTGAGAGAAGTTAAAGGAATGACTGGCGTCCAAAATCTGTCTCTGGTTTCAAATGAGCGTTTTTATCTTAAATCAGTTTAGTTGAAATTTCTGTTTCCACCTCACAACAGAGAGAAAGTTGTCCACTTAGCTTTGAGCATTTTTCTGGCCAGTTCTCGGGTGCAGGGTGCATTCCAACAAATAGATGTAGCAATGGAGTTGATTGTTGTAAAGTAAGTGGACTGGGTGAGGATATGAGGGTGCCTGGAGAGGAGCTGAAAGGGTGGGAGAGAAGCTGAGATGCAAGCAGGGGTGTGATGGATAGGAAGAAGGGAACTCGGAGGCTTAAAGGGTTAGGTATTGAGTGGGGCACGGGTGAGAAGCAAGAGGATAGGGAGATTAGCAAAGAAATAGGCTGAAGGGCCGAGCAAGGGACCTGGAGTGGGATGAGGGTGTTGGATGACGGGTGGTGTGAGGGGGAAGAGAAGGCAATGACAGAGCAGGAGAGGGATGATTGGGCCAGGTCAGTGGAATGGGAAAGGGCAGTGTATGTGGGAGGGGCTGACAGAGTGGGCCAGTGCTGTGTGGTGCTGGGCTAAAGCAGGCTGCCAGGTGATGTGATACGGTAATGATGGGCGAGGGAGCTAGGAGAGACAGATAAGGTGCTGGGTTGGAATGCCAGAGGACAACAGAGTGGGTGAGGGGGCCAGTTATTGGTTTGGGCGGGGCAGATGGGGAGTTGGATTGAACAAAAGAAGGGAGGTGAGGGACTGGGAGACGGTCGGTCGGTGGAGGGGGTTTACAGGGTAGGGTCCCAGGATAAAGGGTCGTGTGAATTGGGTGCCGAGGGTGGGGATCATTTTAACTGATTTTGGAGGGCACTTTTTACTTAGGCTGGAGCAAATTCTAATCTAACTTAGAATTTGTGTTGATGCAGCCATGCTGGTGAGTTAGTGACCTTGCTTGTTACGATTGACTTGATTGCTTTCTTTAGGCATTAAGGAATAATTAGCCCTTCAGTCCTAAGCTTACTTGACGAAATGCTATTGATAAAGTATGCTCATCGACCAAACTCCTGTGTAGAATATATAAACATGCCTGAGAAGGACTGTTCCATGTGTGTAACAGAACCATGTCAGTTATTGTGGGCTTCCAGGTCACTTTAAAACAAATCTATAAAGTGATTCTCAGCCAATGAAAACCCAGTTGTAATGTTTTGCTCTCGGTTCCCAAATGTACACATGTCTCCATCATGTGATTGGGATGAATTTAATACCCGTGGTCTGACTTTCATCAATATGGGCTCCCTAGTCTGGATGGACATGATGCTTGTTTTCTTTTAACCACCATTGGTTAACTTGGGTTTAGATATTCAATAGTGTCTTTCAAAAGGGCAGTGGGCAAATGCTTGAATAGGTAAAGTTATACCTAGTGCTGGAATGGGACTAATGGAATTGCTGCTTGAAAGAGCTGGATCATACTTAGAGTTGTATCAGGTTGCTTGTCTAAGCGTGATTGAAGGGTAAATCGGTAACCAACCTTTTCTGTATTTCGTGAATGAACATGATTGATCGATTCGCCACGTAGAGTGGCACTGTCAGTTTCTGAATGTGTAGGCTTTCAGTTCACTTACACTGCTTAAAAGCTGTTTTCAGCCAATGAACAACAATTTGTAATGTCTAGAGCCCGCTCCAGCATTCAGTACAATCATGACTGATCATTGGCATTAACTCCACTTTCTTGAAACTCCCCGTATGGCTGGGTGACCAAAAATCTATCCATCTTTGCTATATTTAACAATGGAGCATTTACAGTCAGCTGGGCTAAAGAATTCACTGATTCACAAGCCATTGGGTGAAGAATTTTCTTCTCATCTTAGTTCTTAATGATTGGCCTCTGACCTTGACTGTACCCCTTTCTAGATTCTGTACAGCCTCTGTGATTACCCCACTAAGCCCCTTCATAATTTTAAATGCTAAATAAAATCACCTGTGATTATTCTAAAATCTATAGCCCAATTTGCTCAATTTTTCATATATGGCCACTTTCTCATCCCAGGCACCATCTAGGGAAGATTGACCATACTGCCTCCAATGCAAACATATCAATCCTTAATACGGGACCATATTGCGCACCTATATCATGTGATCTCCTCAAAGCCCTTTAGAATTGTAGCAAAGTTTCCTTATTTTTATACTCCAGTCATCTTGCAATAAAGGTCAACATGCTTGATAGGTTGATGGGTAGAGTTTCAATTGTAGCCTTGATAAATACTTGAAGGAGGTGAAATTGCACTTTGTGTTGGAATGGGACTAGCTGAATTGCTCTGAAGTGAGTCAGACTCGACAGTCCTCCTGTACTATCTTCAAACCAATTTCCAATTTTATTTTGATTGCTAGCAAAGATGAACTGTTTCAGTAGGCATGCTTAATTGTCTAGGCTAGAGGCCTGATGGGTTGTCTTTGTACCTAGTCATCTTGTGTTTGACTTCAGCACTTGAGTTGACAATTTGACTCATTTAATCCTTTGCTGGTCATACTGCTGTTTACCTTCCCCTTCTGTCATGTCCTTTGCTATCCAAGAAATGATGCACTTCCATTTCAAATGCTTTGACTTGTTTTCCATCTATGATGTTGTGGGCCATTGCATTTGAAAGTTTTTTTTGTGAAGTCAACCCTCAATTCCTTGACTGAAAACTGGAGCTGAGAGACACTGATGAATGCTGTATCTCCACCATGGGACCAATAGAAGGAGACAAGTAGTGACTGATGTCATCATTGGAAGCAAAGTCCATCGTCCAGATTCCATCTTCCCATGAAGATTTAGATTGGGGAAATTGAACTTGGTCTGTTTTCTGATAGAATGGCACATGCCTGCTTAATAGGACTAGGCCAGTGGATCCCTTTTGGTTGTTCTGTCATTGTAGTAGATTCTGCTGATCTATACAGCCACTCCGTTTTCCTGCTTTTGCTCTATCCCTTTCTGACGTTATTGAACAAAAAGCAGTTGATTCATTCTTGAATTTTCCAATTTCTTTGGCCACAGCAGCTTTTTGGGGAAGAGTTCCAGAAATCTATGCTCTTCTGTGGTGGTCCAGTGCCTCCTGGTTTCACTTCCAATTGGCTAAACAAGGTCATGCTCCAAATGTGAATTCCTCCACCTTGGAAAAAAGTCTCTTTGTATCTATCTTTTCCATTTATCTTTTGAAAAACTTGATTTGATCTCTTTGCATTCTAAATATAAGAGGATGCAAGCTTACGCAAACTGCCCTCAATGCTTTAAGCTCAAGATCATCTGAACAATTCTTTGTTTTACCCTGTTCAAAGCAGTTAAACCACCAAAACTGAACAGTACTCTGGGGTCTGATCTCTCCAGTTTTTTAATGTAGTTTTTAGATGTTGGCACATTTGCAGAATTGTTGTCCAATTGTCATGATATCTGTTTGTTGCTAATTTTTGTATGCTAAGATTTCCTAGATTGTCCAACAGGTCAAGTTGATAAATAAGGTCTAATTCTCCAAAATTTTGACAAGTGTAGTAATTCAAACTTTGCCCTGTTTTCCTTGTTAATGCTCACCCTCTCTCTCTCTTTTTTTTTTCTGTCGATATTTTGCAGATATGTGGAACAGAGTAATTTGCTGATGGAACAGAGGAATGACTCTCTAATATCCTCAACAGAGAATAACCAGGCTCGCATCCTGCTTGCAGAGCAGGAGAAGGTCAGACTTTTTGGGTAAAAGAGAAACAATAAGTCAGTCATACTGATGCTGTGGTGGATTTTTCAGGGTAGGAGGGGTGGAGTGGAAGTGGACTGGATAAGAGTGGTTTAGATTCCAGTGTGGGATAATCAATGCAACAGCTGATCACTGAAATCAACCTGGCATATGTTCTGACCCGTGCAAATGTAGAAATTGCTGGACAAATGAAGCAGCTCTGGTAGCATCTATGGAGAGTGAAAGAGTTTCAAGTCCTGTATGACTTCTACAGAACTGAGATTCTCCAGAATGTTTAGTTTGCAGATGCTGGAAATCTGAAACAGTTCATTTTGCTTTTATATGTTCTAGCCATGTTGACGACATCCTGGTAATATCAGGCAAGTTAATTCTGGTTGTGTGGACATGGCCTACAGCTCACACAGCTATCCTTCATTTAGCATGAATAAAATCTGATTCAGAACAGGATGGTGAGTGTGATGTAACAACCCTTGTGCTAATCTAAGAATACGACTTGTGGTGCAACCTTGAGGTGAAGCAGAAAGACCTTATTTTTAAATATAACTTGATGTGGCTAGGAGTGTTTGTTGCTGAAACAAGGTGCTTGAAATGGAAAGCGTTGTATCTTTTGACTTGATCATAGAAATCACCGAAATAAAAATGTCCTTTAACTTGGAAGCTGGCAATGTTTTCACGCTCCTGCATGCTGTTATTGAGTGGTTACTTGCTGTGTAGATAGATTCCACCATAGTGACATGATTTTTTCGAAAACTCAGTAAACTAAGTGCCGGTGGCTTCTGGAGTATATCTCTGTCCTTTCCTAGATTGCGAAGCATCCATTCATGCTCACTCCACTTGGGCCATTCCAGGCATTGTCCAAGGCTTTTTCTGAATTCCATTGCATGTAATTTCTATGCAGAGTTTGGTTTATGAATGTATGTAGGTTGCTGTGTTACTGTGACTGCTGAAGCTGATTCATGTTGGAAAGAAGCCACGTTGGGGCGGCATGGTGGCTCATTGGTTAGCACTGCTGCCTCACGGCGCCAGGGACCTGGGTTCGATTCCACCCTCTGGTGACTCTGTGTGGAGTTTGCACGTTCTCCCCGTGTCTGTGTGGGTTTCTTCCAGGTGCTCTAGTTTCTTCCCATGGGCCAAAGATATGCAGGGTAGGTGGATTGGCCATGCTAAATTGTCCATTGTGTCCAGAGATGTTTAGGTTAAGTGGGTTAGACATGGGAAATGGGTCTGGGGTAGGGGAATGGGTCTGGGTGGGTTTCCACTCTGTAGGGAATCTATGAAAAGTCTGACCATCTCCAACTGCTGTTGTGATTTGGAATGGTTGAATAGTTCGGGTATAACTAACTAACTTGTGATAGGTACGGTCATCCTGCCTTCTTGTGAAGTTTTGTCTCCACGTGTAAATCTCTGACCTTTATTTTGGAGGAGTTAGAATTTTTTTAGTTCCTGTCTTGCATTTTTAATTACACTGCTGCCCACTACTTTGAAAGTCAGGTGGTGTTAAAACTGCAAAAAGTCTTGTATGCTTTGGAGTGTAAAGAGAAAACACCTGATTAGAGAATGTCAAGTCTGCCTAAGTTAAGAAAATTCTCCATTTCATTCTCTGATCTAAAGATGCTGAATAGCAGGCATTGGCAGCTCTTTTTCATCACCCCTGAAGGGGACTGATGGACAGTAATGGATATTTAATGCAAGAGAGTAGCCACCACAACTGCATTCAGTCCTGTCCTCCTAGGGCAATGGAAAAGGGATTTTGTGTTAGCGAAGGGTAATAACTGCACAACTAGTTTGGGTATGGAGTTCTGTTCAGCATTGCACACTGAATGCAAAGGATGGTGTGCATTATCTTCCGTGTTTGAAATCTGCCAGTGATGTTTGAGGTATGAAAGTGGGATCATTTTAGAGCCTCTTTCTGTCGTGCAAGCCTTTGTGCTCTGTGCTGTGCTGTTCTGTATGTGCGCTTCACTTACTGTCAGTCTACTTTCTCTTCCCAGCTTGCACTGCCAGTGGAGTTGGCAAGAGCTCAGGTGAGGGAGCCCATCTTGTGCTTTGTATACGTGCTTGCATCATTCACCACCCTTTCTGGGTTAAGTTGGCCTTTTCGGTAAAGCTGGTCAGCTGGAACATGTGACCTCCTTTCCCGCCTCTGCAGTTTATGCAAATAACATCAGCAAAATTCATCATTTGCTCAGTTTACTGTTTCTGAATTATTGTCTGATTTCAGCTTGCTTTCATGCTATCCTTCCTTTGATTTTATCCCAGATCCTGCACCTTCTCAAACCAAGAGGATAAGCAAAGTTATATGCCTGGTGCTGCTCTGCTTTTCACCAGTCTCCACCCATCAATGCTTCTCTCTTTTTTAGAGAAAGCAGCTCATGCCAGCTTTGCAGGCACTGTTTGACTCTGGTTACAGCCTGGGATATTGGAGAAATTGAGAGGTTACAACTTAGTCGCCCAACACCCTAGTTTGGATAATCCAGATTGCAAATGTCATTTAGCATTTCGCCAGCTCCCTAACACGCTAAACAATTTGTCAAAAGTGCATGTGAGGGGCTGTGGTGTATTGACTCTCTGACATCATGTCCGATGAAGTGATTTGCCTTCACTGTGTGTCTGTTTGAGATTTGAATCATGTTTGAAGTTTTTCAGAAGAAATTGTGAACCAGGGCTTCGCTTCACTAGGTTGTTGTTCAACACTATTAATATACAGCGTTCTCTATCTGTATGTGAAGACAGACCAATTAGTCATGCTTGCACTCTGGTGATAGTTTGTAAACTGTAAGAGTTCTTCAGATGCCTTTTGTTCTTGGCTTGTAACTTGCCCTGTTAAGATCAGATTGTTGGTGTATATAGTTTATTGTGCTTTCAGTTTTGACACTTGGAAATGCTTGAAGTGGTAAGTGTAGTGAGCTTACATTCAGAATTATGAAGAACCCCAGTATAACACCCAACGTTACTGGTTATCTGAGCCAGCAGTAACTCACCGCTTCTAAGACAATTTTCAAGCCATGTGCCAGTTTTCCACAAGAGCCTGGGGATGGAGGAAGGGAGACTATGCCCAGAAACTTAGTTGTGTGCTCGTTTTTCTCCTCTTTTCCCTACTTGCTGTGTGCACTTTTATACATTGCAATAATTTGATTTCAGAATTTGCTATATTACTGCATGCAAGCTGAATAAAAGTGATTCTGCTGTGCAATGTACTTTAACTGAAAAAATGTGAATTGCTTATATTTGGGTACTGTTGATGTAGGTGGGTCAGATGTGATGCTCAGAATGGGCACACTATTTCAATGGAGGCCGAACCAGTGTTTTCTGTGGGTGTTAGTGTGGCTTTTGTCTTCTACTTTGATTCTAGACCAGATTTTGGTAAGTTCCCAGAGGAGACCCACAATTTTTTTTTTTGAAATGTTCTGGCTAGGAACTACGGTTTATTTGCTAAAGTAGATGAAATTTCAAAATTCCAGTTACTCACTAAGAATGAAGCCACTAGATTCCAGAGTTTTAAACAAACAATAGATTTTACTGTACAGAAGTCAACAAATCAACAAAGGATGTTGTCGTGATTGGAGGATTTGAGTTGCAGGAAGAGACTAAATAGGCTGGGGCTTTTTTTCCGTGGAGCGTTTGAGCATGAGGGGTGACCTTTAATGAAGCTTATAAAATCATGAGGAGCGTGGATAGGGTGAATAGCTGAGGTCTTTTCCCCAAGGTAGGGGAGTCCAAAAGTAGAGGGTGTAGGTTTAAGATGAAGGAAGAAAGATGTAAAATGGACCTGAGGAGCATCCTTTTCACGCAGAGGGTGGTGCATGTATGGAATGAGCTGCCAGAGGAAGTAGTGGAGGCTGGTACAATTACAACATTTAAAAGGCATCTGGATGGGTGCATGAATAGGAAGGGTTTAGAGAGATGTGGGTCACATGCTGTCAAATGGTGCTGGATTAATTTAGGATAGCTGGTCAGCGTGGACAAGTTGGGCTGAAGTGTCTGTTTCTGTGATGTATAACTCTGATTTTATGACTCTATAAAGCAAGCGGTCAGCACCACCTTTTACTTGCACTAAAAAATTTTAACAAACCCTACACTACACTACACTACACTGACAGTCACAACCCAAACAGACCCTGAATTTTCTTATGAATCCACCCAGATGTTAATGAATCTCAAAATTTATTTCCTTCTGAGAGGTTTCAGCTTTTCTCTCTTGGAAAGCCTATCTCTGACTTCCCGTGAAAACTGCCCGACTCAGATTGTCCAAGATTCAGTTGCTTGACCGCTTCTCCCGAGATGGTGTCCCATTGAATTTGTGACGGTGCAGGCCGGCATCCAATTATCAGCACAATCCCAGTTCTGTAGCCAAGTTACAGGTTTTTCTTTGCCTTATCTACCAGCTTCACAGAGCTTTTAATGAATCATTGATTCTATCTGAGCACTGTCACTATCCCTTAGCTTTAAGTTTTAGCAGCACTGAGCTGGGAACAGTTCCCAGCACTTCTGAGCCTCATCCCATTCGGCATTACAGAGCTAACAGCAACAGTTCAGCTACTTGGAGCCAACCTTCCTCTTTATCTGCTGCACATTAACTGTTCACTAACTAACTGCTATTCACTGACGGAATATCTGTAATGTGCCAAAAAGGCTCTGTCCTCACTTACCTTAAGCAGTTGTAAAGTTTTGCATTCAATCATTGATTTTTATCAGGACAAGTGGGAATCCTACTACCCATCCCTGAGGAAGCTGTCTGGAAACTTTTCTGGTTGGGAAAACAAACCATTCAGTGCTGTTGTTTCCTGTCACCTAGCCAATTTTGAAACTCCATCATAAGTTGAATCATAAAGAGCCTGCCCATAAATTTGCAGTAAGCAGAGCTCCGGGATAGCTGAGAAAGCCCTTCTAATAGCTGATTTGCCTGCAAACGTTCTGTCAAAAACATGAAAATAATGCACTAATTATGTAAAAGTATCTTTATTTTTCAATTTGTTCAAACCTTA